ATCCCGATAATTAAGGGCAAGAACATGTAATGAATCCTTTCCGCCATCAGATGATGTTCGCGATTTTGCCAAGGGCTAGTCCAACATCAAATCAATTAAGCTAACAATTCGAGGTCGAGCTCGGCGAAAAAGTATTTGTGGGGTTTGGTTTAAATTACCGGTTCATAATAATTAAACATTTATATTCAATGTTTAAATTGAAAGTATTCTGTTGTTTTATCTGTTCTCTTTTGATTCTATTTGTACATCAAATTGGTGTCGATTGGTGATATTTGGCTTAATTAAATATGTATTTAACTTGAAGACCTTGAACTTAAATTCAGAAATTAATTTTAGTCCAACTGCTTTTTTGCTATGGACTGATTGGTATTTTCTTATTGTTTCGGGTCAAGGAATGTGTATTATTTTGATAAAACGGAATAACATAAAATAGTTTTAACGTACAATTATCATTAACGTATTGCTCAATCTGCAGAGAAAATATCATGGCTATTTCAATTTGAAGTTTTTATATTGCGAAATATGAATTTAATTGTAGACCTTTCAATTGTATTTCATAAATATGCACAAGTGTCGAGGCAAATAAGTTTATCCCATCGAACGAAATGTAATCAATTAGCTTAAAATGTAAATAGCTAGCCCCCAGTGGAAATGGCGTCAACTTGAAATTCAATTTTAAAGTGGTGCTGGGGCCAGGGGAAATCTAAGATTTTGGGCTCAAAATGGGGTCTTAAATCGATGCCGGAATCGACGGTCTTAAGTGCGATTAGGCAATTAAATGTGAAACGGAACGCAAACGTATTTTGGTTAATGTAATGCGGTGGTGGTCGTTCTGCTTTTCCCCCACCCTTCTTAATGTTTTTTTTTTTTTTTTGTTGCTTGCTTCTGTCGCTCTGTCAACACTTTGTTTGCCATCATGGCATTATAATAATATATAAATATAATGGCAGTAAATTCCCCCTCACGCACACACACATACACACACATACATACAGTAAAAGGCAGCCATCTTGGTGGCAGTCTTATAACGGTAGCCCAGTCAACTGTTTATGTGTGTGTGTGTGAGAAAAGCGGAAGTGCGGCATATTTTCCGCTTAAAACGCCACAATGTGCTCGACTTTGTGTGTTTGGCTTGGGGAAAAGATGTGCCAGCGCCACAAAGGGGGAGTCACACAATTTATTCGGATATTTTTTATTATTTTTCTCCTTATTGTCATGAGCATAAAGCTCATGTGAATCTTCGCACACCTTGGTAAGCCGACAGTCCGGATTGCAAAAGTCGAAGCAATTAAATGCTTTAAATTAATGTTGAATAAAAGTTACGGCGGCCAATAACCATATTCGTGTATTGCCTGTGGCACATTGCGTTCTAAAAGTGCAATAACTAAGTCAAGCCATAAATTGCTCAGCCTTAACAAAAATATAATATGTGTAGTATAAAATATATTGCGTCAGTAATAATACAGTGCATATAGGACCTAATTTAATTAAATTAAATTCTTCATGTATCGATTTAAATTAAGATTTATAATGATACACATAAAGTTAGTTTTTTTTTAAGCCATTGCATAAACAAAATAGTATTATTATTTTCTTAAATTTTTATTGTAAGTGATAAACTTTTTTTTAGCCCAACAATAATAACAAGCGAGATATAAGAAAGTGCATATAAAATCATATTTATATATATTCTTAATAAATTATAATTGTCAGATTAAAAAGAAAACCATTTTGTAGAAATTTCTTTTATAGTAAACAAACCAAACATTTTGATATTGTTTTTATTATATATATAAAATATATATATATATATATATATATATATAGATAACAATATATCTATATGACAATTATAATTTATTAACAATAATTTAATTGCATTATTATATACTTTTCTTGATGTTATTAAATAAACAATGGTGAATCAAACTTGCTTTGGTCTTTCTTGCATTGAAATACTGCGCAATTTCCACAGCTGTCTGTATTTTTGCAGCCTTTGGCAGAATGTCAGATAATGCCTGCATCCTGGCACAAAGGATATTATTGGCTCACTGATTAATAAGCTGCATAGCTGTTCTTTTATCTGGGCGACAGATGGAGGGGAACGTATAAACAGGCGACTGCTTTCTGTTTCTCTACTCAATTTAATCCGGTTCCTGGAAATACCCTTGCCTCAAAGAAGCTTCGGGGCAAATCACTGGTAACTCTACTAGCTGCTCCTTAGAATTGCACCCTGTGCAATTGGCTCCCAGGTGGGGAATTACCCTCCCATTTCGAAATCGGATCCAGGAATGCAGCTGCTGCTATTGGCTTCAAATAAGCAAAACAAGCCCTCGATGCCACAACCCTCGCCAAATTGTAGTTCATACCCAGGCAGACTCTTATTATGCATTATTTGGAATCTGACAAATAGAAAACATTGCATTGTGGCCAATTAGGAACGGCTGAAGTGCAGAGGAGCAACCAGTTGCCTGGCCTGGCCATAATAATTTTCAATTTCGAGAAAACCTGGTGCTTACTTTAAGCTACACTTAAGAAAATTCATCTAGACTGGCATTTAAAAACACTCAATTGTGTTCATTGTTTAGTTTCCAGCTCACAATTTCATCTAGAAATCGTTTTAATCGTAATAATAATAAAAAGCAAATGAAAAATATTTGTCTAGATGTTTCTATTTTCATTTTGGAATACCAGCTGAAAAAAGAGCGAGAAACTAAACACTTTATATATTAAATTAAATGGAGTAAAGGAAATAAGCAAAAAGCAGATTATCCTTTGTTTTTTTTAAATATAAATTCATGATAAACACGTTCTGTAAGTAAAAATAAAAATTGTAAAAGTCTTTTGCATATAAAATAAAAATACAAATTATATAAGCCCAAGTAAGCTACAGCAATAAATCATGAATGTTTTTAAATATGGGATATGAAAATCAGACGCAGCCTTAAAACTGAAAGCTGTTTGCAGGCCATTGTAAGGCACATTAAACTTATAAACTTTATTAGCGGCAATTTTGTGGAAAAACCATACTTTCTATGAACCAATTAGGGGCATACCAAGCTGCATTTTATTTCCGGGAAAACCTAGAAAAATGAGCTAATAAGTGCAAAATTGAGAACTCAGTTGACCACAAACTGCACTTTCGTGTCCAGTGTTTCTGCGAAAAACTTTGCAATCGACTAACTTAGTTTAGTACGAAAACGAAACTGTACAAATTGATTACGAAATCCAATTAATTATGGCCCTGACCGTGGCAGTCGAAGGTTCTGCCATTGTTTTGGTGTTGAATTTGTGACTTTGCCCATGACAGAGTGTCCAATTAGTGCTTTGTGTATCATCGCTGACCGTTGTTTTCCCCGGTGCCATGGAAGGACCAGGTCCTGTATGCATTTGGATGTCATTTTCATGTTTGGCAGAGCAAAACAAAAATTCCAGCTAAAACCGCTCACATATGAATTATCATTTATTTATGAAATTTCGGCCAACTATTGTTTGCGGAAATTACTAAACCAAGTTGTGATGTTGGAGATTCCCAGCATGAAGCTATTTTCAGGGTCTTCTATGATGCAGAATTAATTGCAAATGCCTTCCAATTTGAGCAATTTGGTTAATTCCGACTTCATTAGATGTAGCACACGGTAAATGAGGCGTGGAGTAACCAGAAATTGTTCGGCTTTAAAGGGTCGCAGGACTTCCACTGACTGAAATTGTAACAACAGTTAATTATTTATCTTGTGTCCGGCGGACATGGCCACATGACAGGGCACACTCCGCCATTGTGACACGCGAATTAAACTAGCATTCAATTTCCATTGTGCAATCGCCATTCATGTCCATCACAATGCAGGCTTTAACTTGATTAGCGCCGGCGGGAGATACCCAGAATCTGACATGCTCTGGGAGTACTCGGGAAAAAATAAAACAAATAAATAGACCGCATGTTTTACTATTTGCTTTGGAATTTTACCTCAATAAACAAATTTGTTTCCATTTATTACGTATGGCATTTATTTATTTATTGCATTTACAGTGCAAATTTAATGAGATATTCAAGTTTCAGGCAGTTGTTTTTAAAGTATTTGTTATATTTTGCAATATAAGTGGAATAACTTATATTGACAAAATGAGGGCTGCTGGAAAAGTCTATAAAAACAAACATGATCTATCAAAATAAAATGAATTCAAATTATGACTACGCCTTCTGTCAGAGGCAATCAATGTGGACAAAATTTGATCAAATGCAATGTAAGAGAATATGATATCTCGTAAATAAACGACACAAATAATTTATGGAACAATATTAATAATAAGCTAAAAAATGCCACGCATGAATAGTTACAAAACGTGCCAACCATAAATAAGCCGGCCAATTTGTGGCATTAAATTAGTTGAAGGTTTAATTCAAATTTCAAATGCTGAACACGGAAAAATGAATTGCCTAGTAAAATTGTTATCAGAATTTACGAGCTCATTAATTTCAGCTAAAACCGAACAAGAATACAGCAGGTTAAGTTAAGTGAAATTTTATATATTCAATTTTAAGTTATATATTTTTATATGGTGATTCTTTTCTTATCAATATATTGCAAAAAAAAAAAGAAAATAGCGAAGCAAGATATATAATTAAAGAATATAGAAGAGAAAGAATATCGAATAGAATAAAAAAGTTATGAGAAATATTGAAGATTGAATTTCCATTTAAATAAATTAAAAACAATTGTCTTTTTTATTGTCTGTGACTTTGCACAACTTTCTTTATCATTTTACATATACAGATATAAATACATCTCAGCCAAGGAGAAAACATTAGTAAATAAATTTATAGGTATGTTTTTTAAAAATACCAGCTCTTTTTCGAGGTTCCGCCTCCTCGCCGCCCCCGCAAATCTATGAATTTAACTGCAGCGGGTCCGGGGCAGAGTGAGCTAGCCCCAGACCAAGAAAGATACTTACATGTTTGTCTCAGTTTCTGTAAAGTGTGCTCTGAGATTTCAGTGTTTGTTGGATACTTCTGATTATTTATTATCCATTTCATTTCATATCTGTAAAGAGTTTCCAAAATTTTTCATAAAAATGTCCCGCAAACAAAATCGCATCAATGTGTTTGTGCCACCGATTAGTAGTTTTCCCGAATCCAGTTTGCTGGGCGGCTATGAACTCCAGGATCGCGTCGAGTTGCCCAAGGCCACGGACGTCCTTGAGAATGTCATTGAAGAGCAAGAGCCGCACTTTCTCTACGTAATCGATGGCCGGGGCCGTATTTTGGAGCAAATGCGTTATTTTGGCGACGATTACCGTTTGGCTTTGAGGGAGGCCTTTACCCAAGAGGGCCACATCCATCCGGATAATGGTGCAGAATTTGCATCTCCAAATCTAGAGCCCCTGACCGAAAGCCCTTACCCGTGACCACAATAAAACAGTCGGAATCATTCGGCATACCGGCAAATAAATTAACTGTCTCAATTGATGCACTTCTTTTGCTTGATTGGCCAGGGCTAAAAAACAATGTTGGTTCACTGATAAAAAAAGGTAGTAAGAAAAATATCTGATTTTGGAATTTTGAATTGTATCTTAAACATTAAAATTAATATTAATTGAATAAAAAAAAAAAATTTGGGTTCACTACGTTTTTTTTACCAGTGTTATTATTTTCAAACATGTATTTTTATTTGTAATAGATACATTTAAAAGAAGTCATCTTGTCTTCAACTAGATCTTAGTTTAAGACATTGTAATAACTTTTCCAACGTTTATAGCCAAATAACTCTTGAAAAATCGATCGATCTGTCTGCGTGTGAAAAGCTTATACAATTTATTTCATTAATAAAATTTGGTAATAAATTTCAAACTAAATTTTATAGTGGCATTTCGTTGTGGTTGGAATTTTTGTAAAAGCTCAATTGGGTTTTTTTCGGATCTGGCAAATTATTCGTCGAATTTGCGGTGCTATGCATGTCGCAACATATTTGTTTAACAGAAGAGCCACTTCAGCGAATTTTCCCCGCTATTTCACTCGCACGAAGAGCAGTAAAAAAAAATTGTATTTACTTTCTGGTCACAATTTGTAAAAAACGAGTTCTTTATTGTTTTTCTGTTGGCACGAGTTAAAAGTTTAAAAATGAAAAAAAAAAGAAAAATTGGAAAACGAATTACATTTGCATCGGCATGTGTTGCGCATTCAGATGGGATCTGTATCTGTATTCGCATCTGCTCCTGCGAATGCATCTGTAAATATCTGCAGGCATTTGCGTGTGTTACTTTGATGCATAATGGGATTTTTATGGCCATACGTTTTAATGCAATCCTTTTTCCCACTACTTTATTTCTTTGAATGTAAAAAATATTGTTGAGTTTTTAATAACAAATGAACCATTTTCAATAATCTTAAGCAAATTACCCCGTATTTTAGCCAATATTTCTTTGAATGAAAAATATTGTTGAGTTTTTAATAAGACTTTAACGAATTGAACCATTTTCAATCATATTATGCAAATTATATTCGTTTATATTTTAATTCAAACTCCAAAATGCACCCTGCTTATATTTCAAACGCCTAACATTTAGAGCAATGTTGTGTAATTTATAATTTGTTCATTTATTTCTTAAAATAGTTCTTAGCATAATTTTGTACCAATAATCAGATTATAAAATTTAGATTGGCAAAAAGCAGAATGAAGTTTGAAAACTTGCTTAGTCAACATTTATTTATTTGCTTAAGTTACATATTTTTAAAGCACATATATGAGTTTGTATTTTAAATTTTACAGCCTACATCTTTTGTATGTGTCATTTTTGTAACCCCTTTTCGAGTCCCAATAATTTAGCCTGCACAAGTATTACGTATTCGACCCATTGGCCCTTACCTTCGGGTAATTTATGACTTTCTGCATTGTTCGCAGCTCCCTCGTTTCGGGATCTGGATGAGCAGGTATTATGTTAAATTTAATGTGCCCTCGCCATGGCAACAGGTCAAAAGGCCAGAAGATGGTCACCGCGTTGGGGTAACTGGATTGAAATGGCGTCGCCTGCAACGCACTTAAAGACTGGCGAATTTTTTAAAAAGGAAGGGCACAGTTCAACATTGCCATGGCAGCCAATTTGTCCACACGTAAGCATCTGAGCCCCCATGGAGCTAACTCAGTTGAAAACCATTCAACTCCCTAATTGGATAGGTTATACAGTATTTTGGGTGTGAATGTAGCAGGCAAGGTTCGATGTTGTCTCATTTTGAATGACTGCCCGATCTGAATGGCGAATGCAAACTCGTTTAATGACTGAGCCGGTTCAGGGGAGGACATCATTACCCAGACAAATCTAGGCACTGTAGACTACAAAAGTTTGGTTTTCCCTTTCAGTGATAAATGCCTAGTTTTCCGGTTGCTAGGAGTTGACAAAATTTTAAAGAAAATTGAGAAAATCTGTCGCTTGCTAAATATAAATGTAAACTAGATTTATCTGTTTAAAATGAGTCAACAAATAACACTACATTGACTTACACTAGAGAACGTGTTTTGTATAAATAACAGTCTAATACACATTTAGCAAAATGACTTGACTGGTAATGTTGGTTAAAATAAAAACATGTTAAGGTGATAGTGGCTGCTTTATGTTGGATAAGTAGCAGGTCGAAACCGATTCCTACGGAGGAATGCGATTTAAAGAAGAAATCGGCTTTTTTTTGAATAATTTATTTATGTTCTTTACGAGTTATTTGAAAAATGATTTATCCAAATACAAATTCCTAAAAAGTAATTAAAATACATTTTTCCTTTTTTAATTATGGAATTATATATAAAAAGCATTGATATTGACAATTTATTTATTCTCTCGTTAGTTTTTGTAACTTCTTTTAAAATGTAAAGTCTTGTAAGTATAGTAACTGAATTGAATTAAAAAATAGTTATTTTTATCATTATGCATTAAACAATTAATATAATTAAAATGGCTTATTAGTTCTTCTTAGCTTATGTATCTGATATAAGCTGATTTATTTTAAAGATTGTACTAAAAAATTGATTGTGAACCACAAAATCTTTATAAATGATTATGGTAATATTTATTTATAGTTAAATATTCATAAATTGAGAGCATAGCAGTAGCAGTTTTCCATTGAATTGAAATTTTATTACCTTATAAGGACTGATTTTTGGAAAGAATCGGACGCTAGAAAAAGACTGGCTCTCGGGCAGATTCGCACATTATCGGGGCTTGCTTCCCCTGCGAAAATCAACCACTGGTTTGCTGAATTTGGTGCGCCAATCCGGTCGTATATAAGGGTTCCCCGCCGAATGTTCGACGCCTTTGCGTCTGGGGGCATGCGCTGAATGGGCGCCGGGTGCGAGTGGGATGGAGCATGGGTGCAAGCGGGACGGGGCAATGCCGACAAAAATGCGCGAGGAGTAATCGGTGTCCTTGGCTGGGGCACAAGGCTCAAGGCTAACCTGTTGACAAAGTGCATATTGCGCATACGCCCCGTACGGCGCACAAGTCCAACAGGTAAGCCGCTGGCGTAGGCGTTGCACATCCACCCACTCATGCGAAATATACCGCCCACCCAACCACCCGCAACCTTGCCGTTGGCAATCGTATCAAGGCTGAAAAGGCGCCAATAGCAATGATCTGCGTAAATCAAGTTATCAAAATTACTGCAAGCTGCGTTCGCACTGGATGCAATATGAAACTTATCCCGGCCCCTCATTCAGCAGTTGCCTTCGATGTCAACTGTCGGAATATATTGGCGATTCAAGTACAATTTGCAAAAAATATGGACTGCCGTGCATTAAATCCGTGTTCAAAGCCGTATTCAAAGGGTATTTTTATAGGTTTTCAATGCGATCATTACCTCTTTTTATCTTTATTACAATAAGTGTAAACTGAATCGCAATCGAAATTGGATGTCCCAAATGTCAAAAAATTATGTTTTTATATATAAAGCTTTTTTTAAGAAATGCTTAGGATGATAAATGCGTCTGAAAATTTTACTGATGTTACCCAAACTTTATAAATTTTAAAATTATTATTACTTCTCATGTGTTTAATTTTTAAAATATTTGTATTATTTGGTGATTTTCTTATTTCTTGTAAACTAAGTTCGTTCCGATCATGCGCAGATAATTCTTAGACAGCATTTTCCCAGTTTTCGCAAGCCGTTTGACTGCAATTAACACTTTACCTTATGCGCACTTTTGAAATTGAAATAACAGATAGCATTAAACTAGCAATGATACAAGCTAATGTCAATAAGCACAACGAAGTGGTCCCCACTTTTTCATGGTTTGTATGTAAGTGACTATCTTGAAGCCGCTACTTTTTCGTTACGTTTTATATAGACAATACTTAAAAAGATGAAAACTGCCAAAAAAATTACAAAAAATCCTGAATTCTCAATATCCTCAATATCCTCAATTTAAAATATCAGTATTTTGACCAAAATAATAAAAATAATAATGATCCAAAAATGGAATGCCATATTTCGCTTAGCTTGCTATATAAATATCAAACGTTTTGCATTCAAACCTTAAAATGTCAATGTTATAAAATTAAATAATTGTTAGCAGTAAAATATAAATATATTAACCTACATATTTATTATTAATTTAACCTTCATTCAACAAGTTGATTTGACAGTATTGTTACCTTTCGTCTGTTTTTCTTTCAATGAATGACTTATTCGTGAAATTTGGCAATATTTACATTTTTTAATGATTTGGTGATGTCTAAAAAACCACTTTTCAACAAGTGCGACCAACATCGGTCGCAACATCACATGAAGAAGAAGAAATGGTTGTCGCAGTAGTGGGCTTTCATTATTTCCCCATATCAGCGATTCAGCGAGCTGAGCTGCCATTTCCCCTCCAGCAGCAGCAACCCCCAAAAAAAAATCGTACTATTGTATTGGTAGTGCCACTCCATCGTATCACCTGGGCGCCACGTAAGCCTGTTGCTGTCGCAGCTGCTGATGTTGCTGCTGGGATGTTGCCGTTGCTTCCGAGACTGTTGTTGCTGTTGTTGCTGTTGCTTGCGAGACTGTTGTTGCTGTTGCTGCTGCTGATTCGACTGTTGTCGCTGTGTCTGCTTGGACTGTTGTTGCTGTTGCTGCTTCGACTGTTGCTGCTGCTGCCGCCGCCGTCGTCGTCGTCATGGTCGTCGTTACAGTTACACACTTTCCACTTGTTGTTCCCGGAGAGTGGAATGGGTGACATGGGTGAACTGGGCTTTCTTCGGGGGGTGGGCTTACAGCCGAAGTGCCGAGCACCCGCCACACGAGGTGGCCTCGTCAGTCAGCCAACTGCTGAGCAACAGATGCTGTTCAACATCCAAGCCAAAAGGTTGTGCGCCTCGCAGCAATAGCAGCAGCAACAGCGATAGGAGCAACAGGAGCAACAGCAACAGGAGCAACAGCAACAGCAGCACGGCAGCAACATCAACAGTTGAGCAGTTCAATTGAATGCTGCTGCAACTAGCCAACGTGCAACAAGTCAACAAGGACAACACTTTTTTTTCAAAGTGCCAAAAAAAAAATGTGTGTTTGTGTCGAATTACAGTAACATGTACAAGAGTATTTATTTATTTTTCGTGAACCGTAAAGAAATGCAATAGTTATCCGAGCACCCCCATCGAATCACTCAAACTACCTGAAAGCAGTCACGGAAGTACAACAAATGAGAAAATACTTTGACCTGATCTACTCATCATACATAATATATTGACCATAATAAACCATTAAGCCGTACTCTGAGGACCTGACAAACAACAGATGCTTTAACATTGATCACAAAGAAACCGCAGATGTCAGGGTGATTTTAAATGACAAAACCCAAGGAGAAGAAATCATAAGCCAAAAAGGTAATCAAAACCGAGGAAACCGAGCTCAAACGAGGCAGAAAGCAATTGAGAAGACAAAATCATCATGTAAGTAGAGAAAGCATTGTGTTAAATATGATAAATATCTAGGCTTTAGGTATCAATTTATCCTTATTTGATTTACTTGATTGATTTTATTTTATTTTATTTTATTTTATTTTTTTTTGTGTGACCCAATGCAATTAATGTTAATGCTAATTTTCAAATTGTTTTGTCGCATATCAATCTAAATGCCGCAATTGTTCCTGGTGATTAACAATTATAGTTTTAGCTGCTGGCGAATCTTCATTTATTAAGCAATTGTTATGCAAATGCATTTAACGAATTTTGTTTCCCGTGCAAGGCCGTATTTGTTTATTTTCCCAATATTTAGTTTATGCTAAACATTTACCCATTTCCCATCAGAAAACACATTTAAAGCGTTTAATTAAGTATGTTTATGCCGAACCACATAAATTCAACAAACAGCAGAAAGTCAACATAAATATAACACACCACAGTGAGGCAAGCTTATATAAATAAAATACATTCTGATTTAACTCAAATTTCAAACAGAATAATTTAAATTAATTAACTAAAAGTAAATTAAGACCGCAAATAACTGATTCATTCTGAAGCTTACATAAATTGTTCAGAATTGACCTTAAATTCGAGTTCAGCTCCCCAAGTGATTTTTACTTCAAAGCCAAAACTGATGTAAACTTTCTAGTCTCAAGGGCATTTTTGCCAAACATTTCCCAGAAATTTCGGGCAGAAAACTGCTGTTTCTGCTGGTCGCATCGTTTTTGTTCCGAAATAAATCAAAGTACAGTGAAAGTCTTTAAATGTAAAGCAATTTTTTTTCGGTTACTGTTTATTTGCCAGTTCAGGAAACTTTGTTTCGAATTGGAAACAACTTACCAACTTATCGGAAACGGAAACACGCCTCCGACATTTTGTTTAGATAGTTTTCACTTGTATGTGACGTTCAAATTACAATTGCCTCACTTCTGTTTGCTTTATGTTGGTTTCTCTGTTCGAACTGCTGTCGACTATGTCCAGGTAAGTACATTTTGAAATATTATTTAAAAAAGGGGTTTGATAAGCTGCCAAAATATTGGATGAGGTACAAGTAAGGACTGACATTAATGTACACTAAATAAAATATGAAAGCTATAAAATAGATTTTGTATTGGTCGAAAATATATAAACATAAATTATACTTAAAAAACACAAAAACTGATTATAAGGATAATCTTAAAATAAAACAATCAATTCAAACTGTACTTTCAGGATATTCTCGCGGAGAAATAGAGCATAATTTTTGAATTCCCCAAATCGAAGTATATCAAATTTAGGTATTTGTTTGGCTCAATTACAGTTTCCACTCAGTAACCAATGCAATTAACTGATTGGTCCCCAAAAATAAATACACTGATTAGATGGTCTACGCCTAGTTATTTTGACAAGCACGGTTACTCATTTCTGATTTGGTGTGGACTTACCACCTATTGTGTTAGCTTTCTGCTGCCTGCTTTTAGGCTGGACCGATTGTTGAAAACTTTGGGGGGTCGTTTTTCCACAACACCACCATTAACCCAGTAAAAACCATCTCAACGGGAGCATTGTTCCAGCCCCCAAAGAAATGAGCATTTATTTATAGAACCTGTTTTCACAGACACACGCCCCGCAATGATTGAATCGACTTTGTGTCTGGGTTGCTGTGTGAGTGTGAGTGTGTGGGAGGTCAGTGCCAAGGTGGGCACACATGGGTTAATGGTTGGGGGGCATTTGTTCGGCAATCATTTGTAAAATCAGGGACATTAGGCTCCATGATGCCTGACTGCCAACGCTTGAGTTATTGCAAAAAATAGTCCCTTTTGAATGTATTACAAAAAAAATAGTACACAATTATATAAGCGAACTACTTCAGGTTCTGAAATGATTAAAAAGGTAATTTAAGCTTTAAACTAAAAGAATTCTCTTGGGTTTTTTTTTAATTTCTGAAAGCGATTTTATATTCGAGATGAATGAAACTTATGAGATATTAGGATATAGATGATCTGGCAACGCAATGTAGATTTTAGAAACTCATAATTTAGCTGCGAAGTATTTCTCTCGGTATAGTCCCTTCGTGCTGTGTCTTCACTCCTGCGCTCATTAGTAGCACATTTACCGCGTACGTGATTTAGCTGCAAATGTGCAAAGGACCGAAGGGCCAACTGACTGACTAACTAACTGACTGACTGACTGACTGACTGACTGACTGACTGACTGACTGACTGACTGACTGACTGACTGACTCGAAGAACCTACCATAACTGTTGCTTGTGCTTGTTTTTGTTATTGTAAGTCGCCCGATCCCCTCTATATCCTATTCAATTCTCCATCTGGACTCCTAGTCTCCGACTTGTCTACCTATGGTAATTTGGTCACATGTGCATTTCGGTGGCGATGCAGTTGAAGAGAATGTGAAAATGGAAAACGGTTAAAACGGAACAGGAAAATGGAAAAACGGAAGTAGCTGCGATCCAGCTTACCCGACTCGATGGCAATTTTCCTCCCCCTCTAAAGTTGTGTTTAAAACATAGGAACTAACTAGTTTTATTACCATAAATTCTTCAAAAGTTTAAATTTTAATTTTAAATTTTAAGACAAATCGAATTCTTTTCGTCTTAAATCCCACAAACCAACCCCATAGCTTTCGCTGGCTTATGTACCCTCAACCGTTGCATGGATAAAAGGGCAGTTTCTTGCCCATCATTGCCAGCCGAAAGGACGATTGGCTTGCATTGTGTCCTGAGTGGTAGTATCTTTGGGTCGCCATTCAGGCGATGGCATTTCTTTTGGCGCCAGTTAACTGCCATCGATAAGTGGCTGAGCACTTCTGCGAGAATGGCTTGAACACACTCAGTCACAGTCTGGCAAACTGATCAATGGCTGAAACATTTCCGGGACGTGGCGGTGTTTCCGGTTGAAAAGTAGGTTCACACACAGTCCCTTCCTTCCGCTCGCCACACACCCTTCAAAATTAAAGCAAATAAAAATAAAGAGGAAAAACTCACCTGCCGAATTACACTTATGGTTGAATGAAAATTTTCACTCAATTACGCTTTAAGACTTAGTTCTCCAAATAGAAGCAAATGTCGTTAACGGAAGTGGGCCAGTCGCACATACAGACAGCCAGGCAAATACCCACACTTTCACACAGACACAGAGCACACACACACACACACACAGGCACACACAAACTAAACAAACATATTCTTTATCATGGCTTTCTGATGCGCTCTCTCCTTCACGCCCCCACTTTCTCCACAACTTTCACCTCTGCCTCTGTATAAGTGCTCCTTCGTATGTGTGCGTGGGAATATTTGTGCCATGCAATGTTGTGGTTTTTGTGTCCACAGAAGCGTCAACAAACGCTTTCAGGTTAACAAGTCCATAGGCAAAGCACACGACAATAAATGGCTAAACTAATTATTGCTAATTGCAGGGCATTGGCCATTTTGCGGTTTCCAAAATGTACTTAAAATATTGCTTTCAAAACCGCCACGACCATCGATTCTAATCGAATTTTAATCGAAAACCCAATAACAGCTTTTCATAAATAACCATTTAATTGGATTTCCTGGCCTGTCAATAGATTGTATTTCATACATCTACCAGAAGGGTTTTGGCGTGCTTTTAATTTTAGATAATGCTGAAATATACTTAAGGCAAATATACGGTTTATAAGGATGGCTAATAAATCAGCGAATGTTCTTTGAAGAGACGAATTATAAATTAAATGTTATGCCTTTCCAAAAGCATAATTTAAAGAATTTTTCAAGTCATATTAAAAAAATAAGTAATTTCTTAATATAAAAGTGACTTTCAAAAAATATAAAATTATAATTGTTATAAAATTTCAATTACACAATTTAAAACAAAATTGTTCAACTAAATTTTAAATGCGTTTTTTCACATATTGAGATGTTTAAGGGCCTTGAAAGGTATGATTAATGTAACGCATTTCCTTAAAATTTCCAGGTGAAAGTGGCTTGTAAAAAAAAAATGTTTTGATATTCCACTTTGTTGATTTTACCCATATAGGTTGTTCAACTTTAGCTATGCACATTCCTACGTTTACTAAAACAGAAAAATTTGACTTAAGAATGTTTTTTAAGCCAAGCTATTATACAGATTTTGAAAAGTGTATACCCCAGTGAGGCTCGGGTCAAAAACTAGTAGGCTGAGCTGCAAGCTTTTAGGAATTTTTTTTTTCTACGTTTGTGTTTTTGTCCCGTTTTAATCTTTTAGAGTTCGGAGCACTTTTGGCTTATTCAAGAGCTGGGCAAGAACTTCACAGCTGACAAACCTGTGCCCACCAGTTCCCACTAATGCAGCACACCTTCTAGAGTCGTATACATGCATATATATTCTATGTATAGCACACAGCAGACACAGTTGTGCATAATAGATTTGCCCACATATACAAGCATCAGGCAGCACTTACAAGTTATTATTGCCCTAGGGGAGCAGCACTCGCACTCGCACTTACACAGTCGCATTCGCAGTCGCAGGACAAGGCCAAAGCCAAAGCCAAAGCCAAAGTCCAGTGGCCACATAATGGTTTCCTTTTTCGATTTGCTGATGGACAAGGGGGGTGGTGGAAGGGGGAGGGGGAGCGGAGGAAAATGGAAAGCCCATTGAGAGGTTTGTAAGTAAGTTATGATCGGGATTTAGATTAGTGCTAGTGGAAGCCCAAGAACAAGTCCATGGCAACGTAATCCCCGGCAACAGCAGGATGAGTCTCAATGTAAGCCACAAAACACATTAGACGAATCACAACATTTTGACGGCAATGCAAAATGCTCGTGCTTATTTATAGAATTCATAATTCAGTCATTTATACACAATTGATAACTCATTTGTGAATTTACATTTTTAAAGTCACTAAAATCAAACAATGCCTCTAAAATTACTAGAATTTATGTAATGTGTAATGCATGATGTGCGAATTATTATAATAATCAATTCTAGTTGAAAAAAAATTAAATAAAATTTTTTTTGTAAATTGTTAGGTT